ACATCACTAATTCACGCTGACTTCGTCTTTCTCAGACTGGCATGAGCTGGGCTACACAGTCCACACCCCCGGACAAAACCCAACTCTCCTTCTTGAAGGAGGAACTAACTTCAAGTGTGTGCCTGACACTTTTCTTCCCCACCTTTTTGCACATTTTGATGGGAAGACATAGAGCCATTCTAAAGGATGGTGGTAGATCTCGGAGACAGAAAGCCTTCAAAATAGCTGTTCGGAGAGTTACAGGATATTGCAAGAAGGGCTGGTAGTGGTGGTGTTCAGTCTCTAAGTTGCATCCAGCTCCTTGCAGCCCTGTGGACTGCAGCACGCCAGGCTCCTCTGTCCCCTACTGTCTCCCAGAGTTTGCGCAAATCGATGTCCAATAAGAAGGGGTAGTAGTTAATTAAAAAGACTTTGTCAATAATTGTTTTTTTGGTTTCTGATTTCATAATGGCCATTTGAGGTTACCTTAGTCACCACATTGCATAGGAAACTCTGTATGATATTGAGCAAGAAGAAAAACTTCCTTTAACTTAACCAAATATTTACATAAAGATACTGTGTGGTAGTCTGGCCACGATTCATAGCTGAAACCACAAGTGATCAATTTACGACTTGGAGTCTGAGATTGAGTTTTTATCTCAACCTTCTATTAAGGTTGAAACATTGTGTCATTAATTTATGGATTAAGAAAACTGACCACTCCTCTACCAGTTTTGTATTTCAGTTCTAGCTGTGATATATATATTGTTTTGTATCTCTGAAAATGTTCTTTAGAGATTATATAATAATAGCAGCAGTAATAATAATATCTAACGCATGCAACATTATTCTAATTGCCTTACATAAACTGTCCTTAAGTCTTCCTAAAAGCTAAAGTAAGCACTATTTCCATTCCATGAGAAATTGAGGTCCGTGTAAGCTAAATCTTAGAGCTAGCAATCAGCAGCCTGAGAATTGCAACCAGTCACCCTGGTTCCATTCTGTACCTTTAACTATTTTCATGCAGTGCTTCAATAGAATCAAAATTTAATTTCATCCTGTTAACAAATACTGGACATCATAGCAGCTTTAGATTATGCAACAGTGGACAGGATGGGCATGTTTCTTACTCTTCAGAATTTGTTAGCTCATGAACACCTCACTGTGGTGGATATACTAGAACCTTGGCATGGGATGGAATCTGTGAGGGCACCTGTATTAATCCTCCATCATGCATGAATCCTTTGTTTGGTGATGGAAAACTCAACCTCTCGTAAGGCAGGTGATTCCCATTTCAAGGCAACTGTATTGAAGCATTATTTCCTTCAATAAAAATGGAGAGCTAGAAGGTACTGTTAATATTCGTGGAGATTAGCTTGCAAAGAACTTAACTGTAAGTGTCACTGTCTCAGCATATTTTCTTTGTGGAGAAGACTATAAACTTTTACTTAGTGAGACTTTCCCACTTCATTTAATGAATGTGGCAGCAACTTGTAGCACAAGACATTAGAATGTTGTTACAGCAAGAATTTCCCAGCCTGTAGAAGCTCAAGGATTTCTCTCTGAGAGACGCTGATTGTTTCCATATGATTTCATCTTTTGGAGCAGTTCTTGTTTCAGATGGGAAAAGCAGATTGAATTTTTCATTGGTTAACAATTTCATATATACACTAGATGGCAGTAGATAAAAGAAAATAAGGTGTCTGCAAGCACTTTCTGGACAGCTAGCTCACCATTGAAAGAAAAGCAAGTCAGCCTCAGGTTTCTTACCTTTGCCTCAACTCTGGACCCAGAGCTGATGGGAAGGAGGCTGTGCGTTCTGCTCTACGGAATGGCCAGAAAAAACTTAGGCGGCCAAACAGATGGCCTTGTGTGGTTCTGATTCCTTCTTTATTGCAGTATGGGGATTATTGGGTGTGTACGCCTCTGCCTGTAACGCAAGTGGCTGGATAAATGTAAATACTTCATAATGTTTCCAAAGCCACAGCTGTACCGATCAAACATGATACGTGCTTTTAAAATCATTCCACTCCTCTTACCGCAGATTCGCTCTTAAAATCATTCCACTCCTCTTACCACGGGTTCAGCCCTTATTACCACCGGGATAAGTGCAGTGTTGTCCTCACTGTTACATCCCTACTTCATTCTGGATACTCTGCATGTTCCCGTCAGCACAATCTTTCTAAAGCACATTTTAGCCTCCAGTTTTCCTGTGCCTTCCCAAATGACTTCACCCCTCACGGTTTGACGCTTGCCACCCTCTCCTGTGGCCGCCTGGTGCAGCAGGCTGTGCCAGCATTCTCTGGGCTCAGGGAGGCTCAGGCCTCATCTCCGACTCTCTTTGCTTTTGTTTTCTTAACTTTTCTAAAGAAGTCATCTTAAGCTCTCTTTTCTCCATGGGAAGCCTGTTGCAGTCCACTTGTTGGGAGCACTTATTTGATACCAACTTCTGCTATCTTTGTTGCCCTTTGTTTACTGCTTTGTATTCATAACGTTTAGTGTAAATAATTAGTGACCTCGTGGTTTCTTTCCTCCCCCCGCAATTCTGAAATAATCTCCCTCAGAAGTAGTCACCACTCTATTATTCCCTTGCTTTTCTTTTAAATTTTACTATATATGTTTGAATCAATAATTAGATATTATTTCATTTTGGATAGTTCTAAACTTTATATAATGGAATCAGACTATGCATATTTTCATATAACCTGCTTTTTTATTTAACATTAAAATCCTGAGATTTGTATGGATGGATTCTGAATTCATGCTTTCATATGTTGTTGTACATAGTTGTATTTCATTCATTTTCACTGCTGTATAGGATTCCAGTGAATTTAAGACAGTAATTCCCATGATTATGTATCTGTTCTACTGTTGATAAACATTTGGGGATTTCTGATTGTGGTTTGTTTCTTGAATTTATTTATTTTATTGACAATGGATTTACAATGTAGTGTTAGTTTCTGCAAGATTGTGGTTTTTGTTTTTGCCATTAGAAAAAATGTTCTATAAACAGTGTCAGCATATCACTGAACTTTCTAGCTTTTGTAATCTGATCGGTATTAAGTGGAATTTTGCTTTACGCTTCCCTTTTCTAATTACTACTAATGTTTCTGAAAATCTCTTCATATTCTACATAACTATTAGGTTTCTGTGATGTTTTCTTAGGACTTCTTTTCTTTTCACATTGATTTGTAGGTTTTTCTTATATATTTTAGAAATCTGCCCTTTTCCAGTGCCAAGCATAATATCTCCTCCTGTTCCATTATCTGACTGTTAACTTTATGGTATCCACTGTGAAACAGAAATTCTTAATATTGGTATAAACAAGATGGATCAGTTTTTAATTTTTTGGGCCTTATGGCTTTACTTTTGCAGCTTCAGTTTAAGATATCCTTCTCTACCCCAGGTCAGAAAGATGTTTTTACACATTTACTTCTATTAACTTTATAGTTTTAACATACCATTTAGGTTTATAATTTATCTGCTGTCCATCTTTTATTTATGTAGTGTTAGGTATCTATTTAGTGAGCCTGTTTTCTCAGGTACAAGTCACCCTTCCTCTATTGATTTGTGGCACCATTTTTATTTTGTATTTGGTTTTCATATGTACAGGGCTTTGCTTCTGAGCTCTTTATGGTATAACTTTCTTTTTTTTTTCCATTTATTTTTATTAGTTGGAGGCTAATTACTTTACAATATTGTAGTGGTTTTTGTCATACATTGACATGAATCAGCCATGGATTTACATGTATTCCCCA